ATATCTCTTTTTTTGTGTGTATATATATATATATATATATATATATATATATAATATAAACACACAAAAAGAGATCTCTTGAACCATTTGCTACAATAAACACAATATATGATGTAATTTATACCACTTGTTAGTGAAAATAAACCCATGAACTGCAGCTTTACTACAAGAACAAAAGGCTAAAAAACACTTTCACATTTCTTTGGCTGTAAAGAAGGCCTTTGAGAGTTGTGCACTGCTGCTTATCTGGTTATGTTGTGCCTCTACCGCAAACACACAGATTAAATATTCTCTTTGTTCATATTGAAGATGTTGAAGGCTAAATTTAGATCAATGAGCTTCAGGGAAATTTTACAACAGCCTTTCTTTGTGCATCTGTTGCACCTGTTCACTTTTGTGAAAGTCCTGCGATTTCTTTATCTAATGTTTGACTTTCAGACTTTTTTTGTTGTAACCTTCTCACCTCACCAAAGAATTCTCACCACTTGTTTTCCAAAGTGTGTAGTGCCATCTAGTGCCAGAACATGTGAAGGTGAACCACAGAATGCTTCCTTTCTCCTGTCCTTTTCCCCGGTGTCTCTCCAACAGACTACCAGCCAATTTTGCTTGAAATTAATATGAATGTTACTCCCACAAGAAATCTCCCTCATTTCCATTATAAAAGCTTCACTGTAAGCATTAGTAAGTAACCAAATGTTATCCTCTGCCTGCTCTTTGTGTGCTGTGCATTATTTATTGGTCCTGCTGAATACATTTGGTAGGGTGAGGAGAGTATGTTTTCGGCTGTCCCTTGAGCAGCTAATCCGGATTAGTGGACATTAAAAGCACCTGTCTCCGTTGCCCCGTGGGCTCTGCAGGGTGACACAGCTGCCTCGGTCTCCCCCCAGGACTAAACCGTCCGTCTGCCTGCTGCCCCCTATACAACATATACTCACAGAGTACAAGAAATGTGCAATAAATGCATCAGTTGGTATTTAATACCATTGTATGATAAAATGTATTTTATAGTGATTTCAGAATTTTGTTCATTTTGGGACGTTATTTGTAAGCCATTTTTTCAGCAACTAAACAAATCGTGATTTCTCTCTTGTTTTAAAATTACACAAGAATTTGTATTTTGCTGTCCTAATTATGCATGATTATATAAAGGCATCTTTACACGGCTTAAGACTGCTCAGTGCCTGCTCAAAATTCAGTGTAAAAACACAAAGCCAGACTAAATTATGCCTGTTCTGTGTTCAGTTTTAATTGCTGTTTAAATTGCCGTGTCTAAGCAGCATTAAACACTCTAGACCTAAATGGTACTACAGAAGCGCCTCTGTGCCACCTTTGCCAGTAGAAGCTTTTTATTATTTTCATTTAGCTTTGTTTCTCCCTCCAGTTTGGTCTCAACACAGACCCGTGTCACAGAATTCTGTCTTAACCGTTGATTTAATGCATGGATACTGGTGTATTAATTGATGTACTTTAGGTAAATTATCACCATGCTGCTGAAGTAACAGGCTCTATCCAGCAGAGAGAGACATTAGCACACTGCGTTGTGTTTGAGCTAATTGTGCTTGAGGGGTGGAACTTTCCTTTTTGGTATGTGGATGCAAGTAAATTTTGGGAAGATACAATTTTCTGGCTCGAAATCATTCAAGCATTATCTGTTTGTTTTGTTTGAGATATTTTCCCCTAAATAGTGTCTTAACATTACAAAGGTTTTTCAACTTTCTTATCCATGAGCCGGCTTACATAGATTTTTTGCAGAGCTCAGTGGATATTCACAAGCCTTATAGCGTAACTATATAACTTTATTCTGTATATTTGTTCTCTTTGGGCTAATATATTATAGAAACAGATTTGAAATACAGAGAAAAATGGCAAAACTTAAAGATAAGGATTTGTGAATTCTTAAAGGGGTCCTATTATGCTTTTTCACTTTTTCAACTTTATCCTCCCCTGGGCAACGTTATAGTTTCTGCATTTCAACCATGATTGCCAGTGAGTCACGACTGCCTGATCGGAGATTTTGTCTATTTTTCCTGTTAAAATAAAGTCTGGGAGACTAATTAAACCAGATTAAGCCACCTCAGACCTGACTAAACAAGCTAAGACCAGCCTTGGGTTTGGCTTTTTTTTTTTTTGCAGTTTGAGTGCTCAATACCTCTAAATATCTGTGTTCAGTCGTATTTATTTATTTATTTCCTTTGGAATAGCATTGTAAGGGAAACAGGTCAATTTATCATAAAGGGAATCGTTTAAGATTTTATAGGGAATTTGGACAGGATCACTCTTTTACGGCTGATCACTGAGTCGGCCAGCGATTCATTGAACGAGCTGTACGACATCAACTCTGCATGAATATTAATATCCAAAATATAGTGAAAAAACTATTTATTAGTTTACTATTTATTATTAACACTATTTATTGAATTGAATTGAATTATTAGTACAGTAACAAAATCGGCAGTTTAAGACATTAACTTGTAAGCACAAAACACAAGATACTTCTCTTTTCAATATAAATAAGGCTTTATTGGATAAATCTAAGACATGTAAACTAATCTAACACATGAACACACGCATTCACACAAGTTGCAGAAAGAGAGAAAGTGAGGAAATAATTAGTTTAAGAGAGTGAAAATGTGAAATCCCAAGTTTACAGCAATATGTGCAATTGCATAGACATGAACAACCATCAATCACTTAATTAACCCTCGCATTGAGTTCCTCAATGAGGGTAAAATTATACTAAGTGCACCAGTTCAGCTAGAATCTGGAGGTACTTGCTTTGTGTGCGGGGTTTCCCTTCCTTGTCTGGTTGCCGAAAGGGGTT